GTGAGAGATACTTTCAGCACTCGAAGATAAAATTCGTATCCCCGCGCGGCCATGTAATATCCTTTATATAATCCCCGAGACAAAGTCGAGGGGATTATTCGACAATATTCACCGAACCTGAGGCGAATAATTGTTTTATTATAATTTCAGAGCTGAACAACAGAGACATTTCTAAAATCATAACATTTTAGTAACATTTTATTTTAACATTTTATATATACCGCGTGGAGCGGTTTATTTAGTGTCATAAAGGGAACCGCTCGACTAATCAGATTGCTGGAAACTCTTTGCTCAGCTCTGAAATTATACTAAGAACTGTTGTTTTTGGAGGCTTTATGGAAGGTTTAAATTCATAATTGATAGGTAAGGTTTCCCTTATTCTACACAAGAATTACAGAACGAGGCCCTATTAATCGAAAGTTAGGATGAATGACATTTTGTTTATTAGTTTGAAACCTTATATTGAAAAGTAACACGATATGACGTCACACTAGTTAATGAATTGACTAAATACCAAGCAAAGACCAATATTGTTTTTATGCGTCTATTTATCGCCAAAGCTTGCTTAAGAAAAAAAAAAAAAAACATGCATATATATGCGGTCTACAAGAACTCTAGAGTGCCGACAACCCATGATAGAGTAGTTTTCTTCACCCGATGTATTGCCTTTAAATCATTTGCATTGATATCCAATCCATATGTTGAATATATATTTAATTTTTAAAATAAAAATCTATTCAAGTTGATAATCCATTTTTTGAGGCTCCCGACCTGACTTGCTCTGATGGCCTGAAGTTGCCATTAGGCTGTTTTGTTGAATTAGTTCCATGGCAGCAAGTAATTTTGGCGCTAAGTTAGAAATACGATAAATTGGCAAAAGTATTCTCTGTATGGACTCGAATGCTGCTTGAGATCAGGAGCCATAAAAATCTGAAGATTGTAACGATTAACACTTTGTCGTAAGTTTAGTGTTAGACCAAAAATGTGCGTACGGATTTTAAGACAAAGGCAACGGTTCACGAAAATGAAAAGGACAAACGCTCAAATGAAGGTGGTTTACAAGTGGGTAGTGTCAGAGTTACAAGCCTTTCTTTCACTAAATAAGTTTGTTTGTTCATGGTAATTGTAATGCTTATGATTAATAGGTAACAGGACTTCGTGTCTTCTATGATTGACAAATCAGACTCCCGCTTCGCGATCACCAAACTTGATTCATCACTTGTACTGGACCAAATTGGACTCTGCGTGTTTCGTAGCCACGATCTATATTGGTCTGAGGAGCCCCACATGCGATACGTTTTCATTATTTTGGACCTGAGAGCTAATACCTACCAACCGTTGCAATTTTCTGGCCCAGAGAACTCTCACGGCCGACTATGAAATATTAGGAGGCATCCGGTTGATATGCCTGAGCATCAGGAAGAAAATCTGAAAAACCTTCGTAATTGTCTAATTTGCATGAGTCACTATTGTTATACCAATCCAATCAGTGGTACATTCAGCGAACATTAACTCTTTCGACCAATCAGGGCATCTGATGCAGCAATATATGAGTTAATGCGACGTGATCTGTGCCCGTTCCTTTTATCATTTGTTTTCTTAGGTTCTCCCTTGATATGATAATTGCTTAGTGTTTTCTGTTACTGTTTTTAATATCGGATTTTATTACTGGCTTGCGCAGTATAAACATCTGCTGCACAGTGTTAATTGTATAGTATTGTACATCTTATCTACTGCTGTGAAAAGACAAAAAATGTTTGGCGCAAAGCAGAAAAAGACTTCTTTTGCTGATGATGAACAAAATTTAACAAGCCCATCTCAGTAGCTATCCTTTCTAAGCTTTGCACTCTTAATCGCTACAACATGTCGAGTGGAAAAATCGTTCATGACAACTATGCGTAAGTATCTTAGACACTAAAATTTCATTACAAAGGCCCGTAGCCACTATGATTAAACTGATAACCACTGCTTTATGCAAACGGTATAAATAATTTACAGTTAGAAAAGGACCCTTGATGTCGACAGCATAATCTAATACTTACTTCTTTAGTATTTTATTCAACATGGGAGTTAGTGTATAGCCGGTCGTTCAGAACTGCTTTCCCAGATTTCCAAGAAAATCCGCTTCCAAACTTTGCAATCCGGCAAAACAAATCTGCAGTCGATTGAATTGCGTGAAATAACTGCGTTGCATATGATTTTGAGCCAGCTTTAGTTCAAATCCTCTTTTTATCATTCATACACCTGTTAAGAACTAATATGTCAAGGAAAATTTGGAATGGCATGAAAATCAGTCGATTTTCCCAATTTCAGCGGTTGCGAATTTTGGAAATGTTCTAATTGTTCAAACGGTTTAACATTGTTCACGAGGACAAGGGTTGCTAAGGTAAAGGAACGATTCTATTCTTCACTGCAATAATCAAGCAACCTACGGTTACTTCAACGGTTAATTTTAATGTGTGTAAGCAAGAATCTTGAATACAAATCTTGATGATTAGAATATTTTACAAATTGTTTTTAAAACGGAATCATATGATATAGTTTTGGCACTAACTAGGTGTAAGTACAGTTTCGTCACAGGTGTTTCTTCTGATTATCATGGTTAGTGCTAAGATCCTCTACAACCATCCCTATCATCTATACTGAATACTTTTCCTCCGTCTGAAGTTGCATCCCAGGTGCTGTCGGGTATTCTGAGAATAGTAGTGAAATAAAAGAGTTTCCTCTCAAGAAGAAGACAACAGAAATTCAGGAATCACAGGGGGACTTTGATAAAGCTGAACCATCCTCATTCAAAAAGCTTTTGACGCATTTCGCAGCCACTACAACTGCGCATGGTGTTGGGAGGATAGCGAACGCGAAGAGTTCATTAGTGAGGCGTCTGGTGTGGAGTTTGGTTAGTGTTGGTCTGTACGCAACATTGTTTTGGATGTGTATTGCCTTAGTTGTATTATACGTGAAAAAACCGATTGTGTCCAGAACAGAGATGAGCTTTGAGGAGGTGAGGAAAGTTCTGGTTTCTCGCAAATAAAAATAGATCGTAGCAAACAGATCGTTACAATTTAAGCTAGGTGTAATTCAAGTTTTCTAATAGCTCATCAAAGGATTTATCAAAGCTAACTATTTTACACTATGATGATGTCCGTTTTCCTTCCTAATTTTGTTGTACGCGAGAAAAATTTATTTGGATCTTCACACCCTATACAGCGTATTAGTCACTGAAAGTGATGTTAGTGTGTCGTATGGTGTACAATAGCTGCGATAAAAAATTGTAGAGAAAATGCAGCGGAGAAACTAGTGAAAGGAAAGACAAATAAATTTTTTCCCAGAATTATTTAACTTAACCATTGGAAATACTCTTATCACGGAAAGTGGGGTGAATGATGTTATTTAGCTAAAAACGAAGACCTTTGTCTCGACATGGACGTCGCTTTTTCTGTCTCCGTTATGAGTAGGACTTTGTTATGTGACAGGATTAAATTTCTAATTTGACATAAATATGCAAATAATATAACCCAAACTTGCTCATCCTTTTTGCCTAGGGCGAAAAAAAATTTCGAATTTATTTCTCAAGCTTGCCTGGGTAGTTAACACCTCAATGAAAATTCGGGCATTGTATTTTTCGTTAGTGGAAACTAGAAAAAAATGAAAATGTTCAAGTACATGTGATATTAGTCGTGCGTATTCGATGCCAAACTAAGGACGAATCACTTTTCCTTGTCACAGTCCCTGGACTTCCCTGCAGTCACAATCTGTAATTTTAATATGCTAAGAAAAGAAAAGCTGGAAATACTGCAAAAAACAATCCTTCCCTGGGTGATTGCAAGCCTGGCACAAAGAAGTGGGAGAAGGCCACCCAGTTCAGAACAGCGAGTTAATATTACGAGTATAAACGCAACCGAAGATGCCATGCGACAGCAAATTCAGGCACAAGGAAACTTTATGAAGGAATCCCTTCTATCCAAGGCAACAAACTCATACGAGAAAGAGATTTTATCCAACGCTGAGGTGGATACCAAAAGCTTAGAAAAGAACTTCTTAGATAAGGTTTTGAAAAGTATCCCAGAAGATGAGCTGTCCAAGGTTGGACATGATCTGGATGAGATGTTAAAGTACTGCCGATGGTCGTCTTTTAATTGTAAAACAGGGTGAGTAAGGGACTGTCGGTACTTGCACTTCCCTTGAAAGTGTAGATCAATTAGAGTTATCCAATGAGGTTTTTTTCATAGAGAAGTTAATACCTGAAAACTATTCGTGCATACAGTATTCCTTGTAACTGATCAATGCAGCTTATACATTTAGAGTATCCTCTTTACTTCAATAAGTGACTGAACATACGAACACTTACTAATGATACTTCTACTACTACTACTACTACTACTACTACTACTACTACTACTACTAGTTCTCCTACTGATAAAGATAATGATAATAGCAAAAATGATATTCTAAGTAATAATAGCGGAGACAACGATGCAAACGAATGCGACAACGATTACAATTGCGATAACGATAACGACAGAGATAGTGCCGGATGAAAATGTAATTTACTGGTCATTGTATTTATTTTTCGCTCTTATTACTGATGCAGTAGTCTCAGAATGCTTTGGCGCCAGTTCTGGCATTGGAATTACGGTAACTGTTTCATCTTAAACTCAGGATTAACTGAGAATGGAACTAAAGTTCCTGCGGTTATGAATTCAGATAGAGGCGGACCTAATAACGGTAAGTGTTTCCATGTATTATAAGTTTGGTAACCCCGCCTTCCAGATTCAAAGCGTCTTGTACTTGGAAATTTTTTAATGAGTTTCATTTAGCTAAGTTAAGTGGTGTGAAAGTTGGGAAGAAATAAATGCTATATTTGAAAAAAATAACACATTCATTACCAATGTTTGCGAAATAGAACACTGCCAGACTGTAATTTCTCCAATAATTTGTGTTACGCTGGTAAGAGATTCTCAGTTCTTTAACTACTTGAATAATGTTCTTTTCACTGTGAAGACTGTTTTCCTTATTGGTAAATTGTAAGAGTCCACTTCTCGGCTATGCTAGCATTGAACCAAAATGAACGTAGTCAGCTCCAGAACTCTATTAATCGTCACTTATATTTTAAGCTCCCCGCCACTCTGTACTCTATGGAGTAGAATGCCCTTTAAATACAGTTTCTTCTCAAGTAAAAGAAAAGAAAAAAAAAAACAGAGATGTCCCATAGCGATCATTTTGATTTGCTTCGGGGACATATATATGCTCAGATCATTGGGTCGTTTCACACACATAGTCTCGAGATCCATTTTAAACTCAACAGACCGGCTTGATTCTGTTTAGGTCTCGAGTTGGATATCTTCATTGATCAAGAAAGTTATACAAAGTTGACCGATGAGGCTGGCGTGAGAGTTGTACTAACCGACCAATCACGGATGCCTTTTCCATTTGACGAAGGCTTTAGTATTCCAACTGGATTCGCAACGTCAGTTGGAATAAAAAGGGTAATAGACACCATTTCGATTACTAGGGGGATGTAGTTCCTATTTTTATATGATATTATCTGGTAAAAAGGTACTACGAGGGTGTCAATGGACTGATTTAACCGTTAGCCATAATAAGGCCCCAAAATTTAGCTTTAAGTCGCAAAAATTGGTAAATTTTAACCGTTTCTAGCCGCGCAGCGAGCGTAGCGAGCGAGCGGCAACATAACCTAATCTCAGGCTTCGCAGCCGTTTTTTGGGACGTCACGCAACGCTCCAACGTTTCGTTGGGTGGAGCGTTGCGTGACATACCAAAAAATGGCTGCAAAGGAGACTACAACATAACCAGGATTTAAGAAGAATAAAAGAGGTGCGAATTCTCGAATTCATAATTTTTTACCAGAATGCACGGAATGTAACCAGAGTGCACTGCGCCGCGTTTGTTGTGTTTATTGTATTGCGTTACATAGCGTTACTATTGCAAGGATATTTCCTGTCTTTACTCGATCGTGTAAGTCTCCTTTCCTAAGTAAAGGTAAATTGACTAATCGTCAGTATTCTATGGTAAATCTACCATCTTAATCACTGAATGAAAGACAGTTGAATTAAAGGATGAAAGGAGTCGCTTGACCAATGAATGATTCTACCTGGCGCAAGGCGACACGCCGGTAAGCCGGAAAACAAAAGGCAGTCGGCTTTTAGTGTTGATAAGCTCCTGCCATTCGCTAGCGCTTTTAAATCTTCTGCCCACAAAGTTAAGCTCCTATTAGGATAACTTTTAATGACTTTCCTTTGCGATTTAATAATAAGGGCTAGTTTTAAGATGTCATTTGTCCATCTGTATGTTTTTGAGGTTTGGCAAAGCCGGATGAGATCGTGTTACTGAAAGAGCAATATTTTTCTTCTGCGGTGCGCGCGCTATTTTCTTTGTTTTTAGAGTGTACTTTCTCTCCCGCAGAAAATAACATCAGAGATATGTTTCTCAATGTAAGTCTTGGAACGTGCAGGTAGATGAATGACAGCGTAAATTGTGTCACTATCAATAGAATGTGAAGCGGCCATTACTATTTTTAGATACCCTAGTCGTTAATCGTAAATGGCCAAAAGTTTAACCGTCAGCTGTGAAAGCCATCACCTCATTTAGACTCTCTTATATCAATGTTGTTGTGTTGTACAATAATAGTTACAATCAGTTAAATGTAGATTTCTCTCGCATCTGACTGATCTTAATATAAGGCAAAAGAGAAGTGCATGTAAGATATCACGCTGTGATTATACCTAGAACGATCATGGTTGATTTAGATTGTTTTTTTTTTCTTTTCATTATACTTTTCTAACAAATATTCATTTTGGGGGAGCGTAGACTTATCATTCATTGTACGCCATTTAAATTACTTATTTGTTCTTTTAATCTCTATAACTATTTAATTATTACTATTACCATGTAGAAATTCGTTAAGAGAGTGGATCCGTATTTAAACAACAGCTGTGTCGACGAAGGGAGAACTGGAATGGATACTCGGACCATCTACACAGAAAAGTACTACGTGAATTACTCGACCCAGGCAAGATTAAAGTATTTATAATACGCTTCTACTAATGCTTTGAAGTCTCCCGCTTACCTTATTTTAGCGAAAACCAAAAGTTTTTACCTGACAGCTATCAAATATGATAAGGTCCAATCACTGACAATTGTTAAATTTGAGTTTAGAATGCTTCTTTTGGGATCAAAAGATTACCTTGGTTGTGTCGTGTAGTGAAATGTCAATAAAAAAGGAAAACCTTTCCGTATTAAACAAAGCCTTTTGGGATGGAGCATCCCCGTCAGAAGTTCTTGAATGATCCTTCATTCCCCACCCCATTCCACCTCATGTAGTAGATATACACAGTCGCATTTCGATCAAAACATTGCTGTGTATGTTTCGTCCCTCATCTTCCTAGGCTTGTAGAATGTCGTGTTTAGCAGCTGTAGAAGTCGAGACATGTAACTGCTCAGAAGCAAGATTTCCTACCAACAGCTCAGCCTGTTTCAGTGAAGAGCAGAGGGAGTTTGCAATTTCCAGTGAGGAAAACCACGCTCCCACAAATCTTTTCAACAGAATAACTTTCAATGCATTGTTTTCTCTTTTTTTTTAAACACACTAGACGAATGCATTAACGATATAATAAGAAAGTTCACAAAAACTGGACTGGATTGTATCGCTAAATGTCCACAACCATGTTTGTAAGTAAAAATCAGATCATCTTTTGACGTTACTCCATGATAAATATATCCTAAGACGAAATTGGGGTAGGGTAAACTTGTTAACAGACTTTATACTTACTGTCCATGTTTCTCTCTCCCCAGAGAGAACTCCTTCAGTCGCTCAGTTTCAAGTGCACGCTGGTCAAGGGAATTTGAGGTAACTTTTTTCTTTTTTAATAATCTAACTACCCCTGTGGCCAACAGTATTAAAATTTAATGTATTTCATGTCAATTTATCCTATTCCCCTAGTTACAAACCATGATTCAACTTCTCTTGGTTTTCACAGGAGATGATCACGAGACTATATTTCAAGAATCGCCCCACGGTTAAAGGCGTCACGTTAAGGTAATCGTTTGTTAAGCATAAACCAATGGATCATTTCGTATTTTCCTAAAGTTTCATTAGTTCAAAGCGGATTTACTGCTATTCAAAACGGAGATCCTGAGCTTTCCTAATCAATCAATTTCAACTGCCACCGAGGCTAAATCAATCGAGTCGGGCATTCGTTTTTTACAAGGCATGATTCATCCTCTAACACTTTCTGCTTAGTCAGAGGTTTTTGTGATATCAGTTAGGTTAAGTTTGAATAACCTTATTTAATTTGAGCGGAAACATTAACCGATGAAATGTAACAGGGGATCATAAATTTAACCATCTGATAAGCAGTTGTTGTCTGGTGGGTTGAAAGAAGCGATCATTTCTCCACAGTGACAATTTTCTAAGACTGCAAATATTTTACGAAGATCTGAGCGTTTTTAAAACCATCAACGAAGAGGCATACAAGGTAAACTAATTAAAGATATATATAAATACAGAATAAGAAAAGTGGTCGGGTAGAAGCAAGCGAAGATTTGACAAAAAATATAGGTTGACTCACGAATTTAACGATAAAGTCTACAGGCTTCTTTGTTTCTCGATGTTACCTGAATTGTTTACGGTCGCCTGCACTTGATCAATGCATTGGAATGAGNATAGAGGTTTTGCACAGCAGCCATGTTGGATGGCAGGAACAATGAAAATATTTTGCATTAGAAAGAAATTTTTTCCCATGAGTAAAATAATCTATTGTTCCTGCCATCCAACATGGCTGCTGTGCAAAACATCTATTGATCATGATCTACGTCTTAATAAAAAGACACAAAGCCAAAAAGAACAGTAATCTTACATTTCGGTTCGCGCAAGAGATGCTCTGTTTATCAAACTTCTATCCGTTTCCTGCTTAGTTTGTCCAAATCAAGCCATAACTCGGCTCATAATCATCATCAATAGACACAAAGTAATTGTGACAATCCTCCCCCCTTCCCCTCCCCATTTCAGTGGCAAATATTGACTGGTCCCTGAGCTACTCAAAAATGGTGAATTGATGACATACCTGCACAGAATATTTCGAGCCTTTGAAACGCTTGTAAACGGAAAACTCCTCCAGTGTGTCACGGCCATAGCAGCTGCCATTCTTGAAGGGATCCACTCTAACGATGTGTAGCTGTAGAAGAAGAGATACAGCTCAGCTTACGAAAAACCAATGTAGATTTCAGATAAACCATACTCAAAGAATAGGGGCGAAAACAATCGCGTTTGACACAATAATAAGGAATAAATAGCAGCAAGAGAAAATGAACTATACTTGGGTTTGAGGACTATTATGTTAACGCCCGTTCACTAATATTGAAATTCAATACCAATGATTATCGAAAATTGTAACTGTAGTACTTCGCTCACATCCGTATATCACAATTCTCTCCTCTCTACTTTCAAGTCTGCTCTGCCTGTATTTGATTAATATGTCTTCTTTAGCTTACTAGTTATTTTCTTTTATTTAATTTGTATGACAACTGTACGTATCTTTTATCTTATATTGTAGTAAACTAATGCATGGCTTATAACCCCAATAATATTGTAGTAATGAAATCTCTTTAGTTTGTTGTAAAATCTCTTTAGTTTATTGTGGTAATGAAATTTCTTTAGCTTACAAGGTGTAGTATTTACTTATTTATTACTAATACCCGCCAAGACTAGCTAATGCTATATGTGGGTTGTGTAAATTTGATTCTAATGTTCTATAAAATAATAATAAACAAACAAACAAACATGAACTTATGAGACTAGATCTTTGTTTAGGCCGCTTTGGAAAGGAATCTTCTTCTCCACTCTCCGATTACATGGGTTTGATCTTAAAGTAACCTTAAAATAATTACCTTCAGAATGAGGATTACTGACGCAACACAAACCTGTCTTAAACCAATAGAAGTCGAAAATCCAGGAGATACAGTGAAACCCTCGTCGACGGGAAAGGGAATGCTGCGCTGAGGCGTGAGCAGAACACGTACCCCTGCCTCCTGGCTTATGCTAGGAATGTACTCATCCTGATTTACAAATAAGTCCAGTGTGAGACCTGACAGGAGAAAAAAATTAAAAGGCTCAGTTGGCCAATCAGTTTTAAATCTACTCTGTGGGAGGCTACTTAACTGGATTTGTACTAATTTACTAATTTCTTCAAGTACACTTACTATGAGGGAAATTATAACAGTCATTACCATATTTTTGTCCGGGCTTTGTGCTGGTGAGAACAGGAGTCTTTTTACCATCCTCTTTGGCACCAGAATTAAATGTATAACAGTTTCCGTATCTCCAGTTCCATGTCCGCTTCCAGTACTTAAGGAAATCGCTGTGTGTTTAGAGAATAAAACGATAGGGGAGGATAAGAAGTTACTAGGATGATAACTTAAAGGCGTGGCTTGCATGACGAAAAAGGAACAGTTTCCTTTCGCGTCCCGCTCCCTCCTATACACCCTATCGTCTTGCGGTCAGGCTCGCAGAATTGACTCTCGACCAATCACAAAAGAAAAGACCCATACATTAATTGGTCTGGTCACGTTCAAGTTTCCAGGAACGGTATCAATAAAACTTATCAAAGTAACTTTTAGTGGTTATCTCAGCCATACCGATTGAAAGGAATCAAAAAATCAATAATTTTAAAGGACTGTCTCTAAAAGTTTTGAATGCCACTCCACCTCCCCCTCTGTAATAAGTCCTCCTTTTAGAGTCTGCCACCCGCCCCCCGCCCCCCCACACACACCTTCCCTACCCAACCCAGCCGGGGCATATAAGAAAGTAAACACACACAAAAGAACAAATGCATCCCTTGCTTGTTTTCAATATGTTTGTGAAATTTCTGTAGCTTCTACTTACCCAGATTTACACGAAAAGTCTTTCCAATTACAGCGAAACACCAATTCATGAAATTTATGTCCGGCATCCATCAAATCGCTTATGTTTTGCTTGGCTAACGTGCTTAGAATCAGATCTTCAGCGTAGGCTTGTTCATCGACTGTAACATTGCTCAAACTGATGTGTTCTTCGGCATGTGAATTGTCGATCTTTAAAGATTCCTTCATAGCTTCTTTTTGTTTGTCCAGTGGACCGAACGAGGTTGATGAACTACTGGATGATAAACTACTGGAGCTTGACTGATTAGCTCCTTGTCCCTCCTGTCCTTTGTCTCCGTGTCCTTTGTCTCCGTGTCCTTTGTCACCGTGTCCTGATGGCGGCGGTTCTCGCTCAATAAAGCTGTCAAAAGTGTTCACGATAGCTTTTGCATCCGCAAAGGAAGATATTTTGGATCTCCTTATGATGTTGAGGTTACAGATGGTCACTGCAGGAAATTGAACTGTCTTTATAAGAAAAAAGAGATAAAAAAAATTAATCTTTAGGTATCATACCAATAATTCTTGATTTAGGGGCTAGAACTAAGCTGTAATGAAAATCTTCGCCTTAATCTTGTTTAACTCTTTCGCTGACTGATCTCATTAGTAATTTTCCTCACTGTCTGCCGAGCAGTTATTATGTTGTCACTTCAGAGAATTTGGTATTGGATCGACTGATAATCCTCTGATCTATATTTTTCTTCATTACACGACTCGGGCAGTCAGAGGGCCAATAACTAAAATCAACCAATCAAAATGCTCTATTGCTGGTCAATATTCTCTCAGTATTGGACCGGGTACAGTCCCGAATGGTCCCGAATGATACCGCACTCGCGTCCCTTTGAACTTGAGTCGTATAATAAATCTCTTATTAACCAAGCTTGCTCGGGACCGTACTGGAAGAATGTCGGCCCTCGGTCTTTTTTGTACGGACCTCGCTGCGCTCGGTCCGTACTGTCAAGAGCTCGGGCCGATATTCTCCCAGTACGGCCCTCGCGCTTGGTTAATAAGATATATGTATTCTCGTCACTTATCTGCCTGATATTGTATGATATTGTAAGGAAAAAAAACAGTCAGTAACCAAGTAAACAAATCAACGTCCTCATGACTCACCCTTACGTACGTGACGTCAATATCAGACTTAGTTGGTTTGTTGACATACGTTTCCATTAACAAAATTCCTTGATATATCACCATCCCTGCACAAGACAGAGTCACCAGTAACCAAAAGACACACCAAAACCAAGATTGGGCTTTAGCTGTCGTACCTATCTTGCCAACACCATGGGCACTGGTTTCATCTGCAAACTCCTAGAGTAGCTCTCTAAGAGATCGTTTGTTTTTCGTCATTACGAGGTCAGCTTGACTTGAGTTTATCTCAGCGTTTACTTTCCAGGGGTCCGCTGGTGAGGATGCTCTTGATGTTGCAGTTGTTAGCTCCGTACTGAAAAGAAAAGCTCTATCAGATGATATACTCTGAAATGAGGACTAGCCGCGCTATGATTGGTCCTTCCCTTTAATCTATCGGGGGGCTGTTCGCCGGAAAGGGGAACCGAGCCATGATCGACATGAAACGTATTTAAACAGGATCGTATAGCTCTAATAGTGAAGCGCTACTATATTTTTTCTTTTCATATTCCATACAAGAAAAACCGAAGATGGAGAGAAAGACTTTTTAGGACGTTTACGGGAGAGTCCTTTTTGTTGGCATGAACATCGGAGGCACTCTCCATTGCAGGTCGTCATTGTTTTAATCTAAACTCTTAACTGGCAAACGAATAAAATGAAGTGTACTTGTGAAAGTACAGCAGCGAAATAAGATTTTTGTAAAGCAGAGAGCTCGAGCGTCCGCAGAGACCTTGTACAGATCGAACGAGTTATAAGCCTGTAACAGAGGTTAGAATTTAAAGGATCTAGTCAAAATTAACAATTAGACAAGGATTTAGTACTGTGTACGCAAATTAAAATTGGAAAGAGTAAAGGAACAGCTATCAAACTTTCATCTCATCGCAATAATTTGCGATAAGATTGAAAATCCATTTTGACTTTAGATGAGTGAAATTGCTCAAGTTTGTTTTTAGATTTCCTTAGTTTCACGTCCCAATTGCAAATTCATTTTATTATTATGCTTATGTGAACAACACAGGAGCAATTAAGCCGTGTGAAAAGTCTACATAACTTGATATTCATAGTGTAACCACGGTCCGTCACCATCCTTTCTAAGGTAATCGAGCAGCATTGTCAGTTCCACACCATAACACCTTTCATGCAAAAAACTATAACACTTTTTCATGCAAAAAAACCATGGCTGACTGCTGCAGCCTTTAATTATCCTTTCAGAAACTGAGATATTTCACATAGAGCGCAGGTTCTCAAAACGATTTATGACAATATAATTGAGATATTTGGGATGAAAATAAGTCCTAACAAAAGAGAGCAAGAGTATATCAAAAGCTATGATGATTCCACACAACAAGCGTCATTTCAAATGTAGCCTAAATTTTGTCGAGTCGAAGAAATAATTCGCTGTACATTTTAAGATTAAGTTCACAATCCTAAAGACGGCGTGGCTCTAAACTTTCAATACATTCTGTTAAAATTACATTTCTGAGAATGAAATAAAAAATAATATTGTGCACTGCTTAGCCGCATGTATTCGTTGCATAATATGATAGTTCAGTTGAGCAAAACTGTGTAAACAACACTGACAGGATTAAAATTTTATCAGGAAAATGTCATTACTTAGCTACTGACTTTATATCTTCCCGGTAAATTCGGCACATATGTGAAGACGTTCGTCATTTCACTCTTAGATAACGCATTTTGTTCTACTACGATCTGCATATTCGTCAGGTTCGGTATTTACCTTAAATCGCGTAATCGTAAATTTCTGCTGAAATCTAAAACGTTTCATAAATCTCTTGTTGGCACTACTTCAAACTTCAAACGATAGCAATCATACAAACTCTAATATGTAATTACCACTTTGATCACCAAATATATGGGGGGCTTGTCGTTTGTATCAGATTAAAGTTGCGTTTTCATTTACCTGTAAGACCTAGGAAGAAACACCATTCGCGCCCACCGTTTTGTTCCTTTAGCAGCCATACTCATAAGGTCATTTAAAGTAACACTACCGCTCGAAGCCTTTTCACCACCGTATCACAAAATTTTTCGCCAATCTTTCCACAGGTATGGCGCTTCTCTTTCTTTTTTAATCCTTCTAATCCAGTGTTACTAGAATGCGTTGATTCATGATCATAGTATATCATGACATGGCGACCTAATCAACAGCAATGCCTAAGGTAAATCCTTACTTCTACTTTCCTTTAAAGTTGACGATGCAAAACACATTATCTTCTCAACGCAGCTCAAATACGTGATAACACGAAGCAGCTGTCTTTACTTATGGATGATCAACACATTTTGAGTTAGCACAAGAAAACAAAGGAGATCTAATGACGCAGTGTCACACTGTAAGAAAATTTTAAACGGGAAAGTTTTGTCACAGAGCATACCATTGACCACGAGGATGGTTATTACTCAAATAATCCTGATTGGATTAAAATTCAGCCTACCCATCACAATACTTTACCCATTAGTCACGGCCACTTCTTTTTCGACAACTAGACTCGGTCCCCTACATTAGCCATCTCAATCTCATCGACAGGCCAGCCCTTATGTGGTTTGCCAAGGCAACGCAGGTGGGCGAAAGCAGGCGAGCAGAGGAAAATAAAGTTGACCCGTCTGCCTTTTTCAGTTGACACTGTCGTCGTTCTCCGCCCGACCAAAAGGTTGGAACATGCTACAGGCTCACCCGGAAACTTTGAGGAATTCCCTTGCAATAATAATTATCTTACTTAGATAATTTTTTCACACAAATTTGGTTTCAAAAAGGATCTTATAAAAAAGGATATGAATCATGAATCCGTTGCCAAACAATGGAGGAGGGATCCTGATCCCGTTTCACGCACGAATAATCGAAAAATTTACGCAGACGTGTTGCAATAGTTGCAATACTATTTCACGTGTCACAAATTTAACAAGTAAAACTTCTACTCTTACCTTACCTTACTTTTCTGTAATTTTTAAACGTCACGTATTAGTTTTGGGTTTATCACGTGTCATTTGAGACCTTTGCTAATCTTACAATGAAGTCCCGAAATTGCGGGAATTATAGTCGCAATGCTTTTTGGTGAATTGATAGATGTTAAAAGCAGTTATCGAAATGCAGTGCCAGATTTTATGCGTTAAGTCAAATTTTAGCTGAGATTTATTTCGCTGTGATATTCAATAATCAGCGTACATATGGCAGGTGTACAAGAAATTTTTCCCGCTTTTAATTGATGCTACGTACTTAGTGACACCTTTGAAACGAAAAACAGCGAGAGGCCTTGAGTAAATAAAGACATTCCCAGTGAAAAAACGTGCTTGTGATCTGAAAGTCTGGTTAATTACGGAGTGACCTCCTTAGCTCTTTACCAGTATCACACACAAAAAAGATTGAAATTAAAATGCTAACCAGCAAACGGCATTGTTTGCACAGTACGCAAACACTGAAAAGAATTCGCTCAGGCACGTAGTTTTGAAAACATGGAAAATGTTTGTTTAGAAATATGTGTCAGTAAACCTGCGACTGAGAAGAGATTCTGTATGCTATCTCATTCGCTTTTCAGATGACACAGTAGCTATCATCCTCTTGAAGTTAAATCAATGGTTTATCAAGGGAGCTGCAAATTGCGCCCCGTAACTTTTTCTCACCCTCGTTAACTCAAATCAAGATAGAAAAATAATGGTGGACAGCTAACCGATTTGCAATCCTACCGGTCTGATAGCAAGTTTGTACAAATTATCCTTTAAATTGCTTAATTAAGAAAGTGACGATCTTTTTTTGAATCTGTAGACATGATCCTTGGGGGAGCAAACTCCTATGAAAATTCTCCTTTTCTGATTTGATCCCCCCGGTTTTGATTCTCGATATTGCCTAGTTGCTTTGAAGCGTTTTTGAATTACTTTCGAGTACAACAACATTGGTATAAAAGAAACCAACTTACTCATCGTTGACGTTCTCAAGCTAGCGTTTGAATCAAAAGAGTCGGTTGCTTTTTTATGCGATGGTCAACACATCAACCGTATTGTGTCAGTGACATGTCATCTCCCAGACATATTCTCACGTAGTTTATGGGAACCTTTCACAATACCCAGCAACTAACCTTGATATCATTCAGAAAAACAAAAAGGGAGATCATCTATTACCATTGTCAATACCTGACAAGGCTTGCAATGGATGAAAACTCACCTCTGGATTTGTCTTTTACATAATGATGTTCATTTACAGGATTTTTTTTTCATCTAGCTGTTAGGAAATCCATAGAAAGCATTTATATTTTGACCCTCCATTTCACCAAGTGAAAACTGGGATGACAACGTTAATCATAATTATGCACCACTTTGTTGGTTTTATTTTTTTCCTATATCTTTCTGTCGGTTGCTAAGAGTTTCACCTCTCTAATTTTCGCCCTTTTTTATTGAGGCGGAGGCGATGTCTCCTTGTTGAATAAACTATACACTGGGAAGAAAGAGGAGCGGTTTATGTTATCAAGAATTCTATAACACTTTTTAAGAGCTTGAGAGTGGATGGAAAAAAATGCGTTCTAAATTTTTTAATCCATTACTAGCTAACGTTTCTTTTTCCAAAAGATTTCTGGCAGTCTCTCTCTGACAGCTTAGGCAAGTGACCTGCCCTTTTTTTTCTTAGTATCTTTGATACAACCAACTTGTTTTCCGCAAAACACCGTCATATTACGCATGAGCAGATCTTTACTTGTGGGCAGTTATTTACGGATCACGTAGAGGGTTCTTGGCTAGTGAACAGGATTGCAAAACAGTACTTCGAATGGTGATAATTAAGGTTTTGTGGTTATGGGCACTTGCTGGATAATACGTCAAATTGCAGTGCAAGTTTTAATCAGCAAGCTCTGACTTTTACCTTTAATCTCGTACTTGCAAATCTTGTCAAGAAAACTCGAATGTTATACCAGTTATACGGACGAGAAACAATGGATTCAAAATACTTCTTCGCACAGTGATCAGTACTTGATAGCTGATTAAAATATCATATGAATTCTATAAACAGGACATACCGTCTGGATAAGAAAGAGAGTTAAAAAGGGATTTGATAACGTATTTGAGAAGAGTAAATTCAAATTGCACATCGACCATGTGCAACTTAAAGATGATATGAATAGTGCCAAAACATGTTTGGCAAATTTAAAACTTATGCTTCTTTTATAAAAGATTTTTGTCGCTCTGCTTATTTTTTGACCATTTGGAAATTAATTTTATCAATATGTTCAGAGGGACTTGCATGAATTTAAAGCACATACCGAACACGGTAAACACAAAGCATATATTAATTAGACTAAGGTTACATTATTCCATTCTCTAGGCTGATCTAGCTCAATCTTATGGAGCAGCCTCAAAAGACTATCTCAAAATAAGGGGAAAATTCTTTCATTTCCTGTTTTTAAAGTTGACATCGTCAGTTTTCACCCAAGAACAAATGTCGAGCACATTGTTTATTTGAGTCACCAGGACTATTGTTAATTACCTACAGTTTGAAAAGAACTGATTCTAGTTCATGTATGTACTTTATGGCCCCTCATTGTTTAATTAAGAAACAATACTGATCAGAATTACAAAATAATTTACTAGTATACTATCAGCGCGTGGGTAGCATCGATCTAAATTAAATCTACCCTCCAGTTTCCATCTATTTTCACTCAGTGAAGCCGGGGGAATCGCTAGATTGAATTAAAGGGGATTTTCCTCATGACGCTATCCGCCGCCATAACTTAAAAGCTGGGAAGAGGGGACAGACATGGAAATGCCTTTTTCATTCGATCGAGTGCAAAGATCTCCCTTAGCGGAGTTCGGCAACATCAAGCTGTTAAAAACATTACAAGCTGTTCTTCGGAGATTAATCTTTGCAGAGAAAATTTATTTTAACAAATTGCCAGGTTTCTGAATTTAACTGAGAAGTACTTCACTGTGGAGGTGCGTTAGCGCAAAACGTCGTAGTCAGCAGGTGTGCCAAAAGTAATTTCCACTCCCTATTTATGCTAAGTGTCTGGAAACACACTTCAGGCAATGGACGCAGAAACACATATAAAGAATTGATAAGTTCTTTCAAACAACACTATTACACCATCCCTATTTCAACATCTCGCTTTATTCTTTCATCCCTTATAAGTTTTGTTTATATGAATTTGTAACACTCAAAATCCACAAAACATTTTCTGATCTGCATATGGGCTACTATGGTTATGAAATGTTATGATAATTCACGAACTGCGCAACTCATATTTTCTTTAATTATCATGACTTTTTTGAAATAGATAAATAAAATTCCTGTTCTATTAAAACGAAGGGCTAACGCTCGAAACTTCAGCTTTTGTAATCATTACGGTGGCCAATTTACCATTTCAACTTTGTTGATATATCCAAATTATTTCGTTACTCCCAGCGACGCAGCCCCAAACAGTTTCTTTCGAAACTATCAGCCTTTATCTATTAAAACTTAGATGTGTTAAATCTGCGACTGAAAAACTCCTATCCGTCAGTTACGTTCTTGGAAAATGAATCAGTTACTGTTGTTATTAGCAGAACGTCCTCAGGCCTTACCGCTGGCGTCATTAGTGTAATGAATGATTTTCAATTCTTCAAGTTATTTTTTACAAATGAACTTCCATGATAAAAAAAGTGGGCCACATGTACACTTACCTTTCTGAGCGATTCGTTTTCATAATATACTCTTTTTTATGAGGAGATTTTCTTCACAAAATCTCAATCACCTTATTGTATTGTCAAAGATGTATAGATCGTGTCGCGGACACTGTCAGATCAGTATCAGAAATATAATAAAAATCTAATGTTTCAAAACGCTGGCAGGTCAGGTTTCAATTGGTTCTGATCTTCAAAAATGCCAATCTTTACCAAAACTAATCTGAGAGTTGTTTTTAATTATTCAAACGTCCGATTTTATTTGCCAGCTTTTTATATTATTTGCAATTCCAAAATTATCTTCATTCCAACTTAATTACAGTTTCCCTAACTATTTTTTTTACCGTCGCAGTCAGGAGATTAACATGGTGATTTTAATCCTACAAGAATACTGAAGACCCAGAGGTCCACCTCAGGCATTTTCATGTTTAGAACGATGATTTCATAATTTCGAAAAGAGCAATTTCAAAATCCTTTCATATTGCTATGATCTCATAACAGCGGTAGCGAAATCAATACTGTCATGTTTGTATAGTCTTAGTGGTCAACAATTACCTATTACACGACCCGTCCTAAAGGAATAATTAACGACAGTAATAAACATGCAACATACTGAACTTATTCGCAGAAACTCAATTAGAAAGGCTTGTGTCTCAGTATCTTCCACAGAGCAGATTTGGGTCTCAAGCAATGATGAAACCGCTTCGGAAATTTAGACTTTCATAACACCTGAATCTTAAAATTTCCGTAAACTGAATTCAGCTGCTTCATTTCGGTGATGACAACCGTTCCCTAAAATCTAAAACGTACTTATTTTCACATTTAAGACGGCATTGTCAGTGAATGCGAAGGGCTTTTTATTTACGATTATCTTGCCTTGTTGCGTTACTTTTTTCCAAATACGAAATCCAAGAAATATATTTGATTGTGCACCATGTACCCAGTTCAACTTGCGGTGACTCAATTTCATGCCTCTAATTTATATTATTATGCGCAACTGGCGAGGGGCGATTCATGTGTGCTCGTCCAATTAATGCAAGCCTGGTCGGCTCATAAACCATGCCTTGGTCATGATCGTAAGTGTAAAGGCTCAATAAATGAGATTTTACAGGAAATCCAAACATTGTAGAGGCTATATCAAAAAAAAAAAATATATATATATATGTATGGCGTTTCGGTGTTGCCCTTCAAGAACTCCGTTACATTTGCATCACACAGGAAAATAAATTACTGTTATTGACACGGAGGGAGATAAGTCATTTGTAATTAGTAATTACGTACCCATTCACTTCGATGTAAAAAGACTAAGAAAACAACATGCAAAACACGAACGTTAAAAAAGGCCAAAATAATTAGGACAAAAAAAAATCGTTCAAATATTTTGTAAGTCAGCGAGAGTGAAAAGAATAAAAGTATCGAAAGTTAGCTCCTCAAAAGTCACTCGTTTTACATCGTACAGTCAACTACACCACAATACAAGAATGTCGAATCAGTGAAAAGGCTGAATTCAAGTTGAATCTAAAACGAAGAAGATGGAATGCCGGTGAGTACCTTTCGTCAGTGCAGTTGACCCATATCAGGCTTAAGCATAAGCCAGATGAATCGTAAACGAAAGATTTATGTAAGAAAAAAAGCTTTTAACCAAAGGGACCATCGTGGTAAATGAAAAAAAAAAAAAAAACGTCAGAGAGGTTTATCAAAGAAAGTTTACGAAAACAGCGAAAGGAAAGACTCAATGAACTCATTTTGGTATCTGACTTAAAGCTTTGAGCAAAACGACTGTAAGCGGAAACTGCATAGTCTAAACTCACCGTTCATGTTACAAGCCGGCACTAGTTATGAAAACAAGATGAGTTTCGAGAACTGGTTTCGTTAAAGCCATTGACAAACTGCTCCATTTAAATATGATTTCGATTACTAAGTTTTCTCCCATGAGTCGGACAAATGTATTGAAATAAAATGTGCTTGAATTTCGTTTTTCTGTTTTATCATAATGATATGGTTAAAACTGAATGATGAAATTATTCAGAGTTTGTATAAAAAGAAGGCTCATGATTACTTACGTTGAGCTGATAACGCTATTTTTCATGAATCCTTGCACGGCTACCGATGCTGTAAATGGAGGATCGAACGGGTTTGTGCAAAATACTGATTACATTTAACCTGAAATTACATGATCAGTCAACATGATAATCTGATTGGTTAAAACAATGTATCTGAATGTTTTCTGCATTTTTATAACAGAGCTCCGACTCCATAGCAACGTAATATTGTGAAATAAACTTTAGGAGGGCGGTATGTTTGTTTTCAGATCAAGCCGTAATGATAAATGATGATGTAATTTTCTTGAAATTGGCATTCATAGATTTTGGTAAATTTACTATTCCCACTCTATGCTAGCGCAGTGCTGTTTATTTGAAAAACTCGAAATAAACTTCTTAGGGGTCGACCGTTTTCAAAATAAATCACATCAAGTGGCAAAGAGTAGGCTGGTTTTACGTGATTATCTTTTACTTCAAAAGCTACTTTTTGGTTGTGTTAATTTATACGATTAGATTAAAATAAATTCAGTGTTTCTTGGAAAATATAGCCGGATTCCATTATTCCCAGGCCTCCGAAAGAGCACTGAACAGATGAATGTAACTTCGAAACCAGTTGTCGTCTTTGGAGGGGAGGGAGCATTTTCTTTTCATGTGAAATCTTCGCGAGGTCCACGGATCAAAAACATCAAGAAAAACTGAATGTAGTTTCTTATTCTAGCACTAAACGATCTGAAATCCTAAAGATGAAACATGCCGCAGTGCAATATACCTATCACACTTGATCAACAAGAACATCAATTAGAAAAGTTTCAAATAACGCGGCAGAACTGTCCAAACGAGCAATCTATATCTTCCCTTTACCGAGAATAAAGGAACAGTATACACAGCAGTCAATACGAAAGCAATTAATGCCTAAACTGTTGGGAAATGTAAATATCTCAGTCTCGTGCTTGTTCAAACCCTTTCAGTGAACTTGTACACAAACCGCTTTCAAATTCTATCAGTGATGTGATTAAAAAAAGTAGCAAGCGATCTTGCAAATCAGTGTTATTTGTTTTCCTTTGTATAAGTTTCCTTCGAATAAGGATTAACAAAGATTGTATTTCTTACTGATAGATTATTCAAATGGTACTGTTTTCGTTTTTTCTTATAAGTTAAGACACTGAACCGTAGCTAGACAACATTCTCTATAGTTTTTCAGTACTTGAAAATGCATTTTACTGTTTCGATAAAGCAAAATGATTTGGTTGTTAAGTACAACAGTCCGCCTCGTTCTACATAAATGACTGAAAGCTCAGTAGCCTTCAAAGTGAAGAAATGAGGAGAACGAAACGAGTTTTTCATTACTGGGTGGTTACGGTGTTATCTGAGACTCACTTCTACTCCTGAGTCGTCGTTTACAGTCGTCATGGATTGTTGTCGTAACGTTCTCATACAATCATGTCACTGAATAGTGATGCTACTTTGCTACACAAAGTAGCAACGATTTGTGTCGCACCAATGCTGATCACTGTGATTAACCAGCACTGATTTGAAAGAAACATCGCCTCAGCCACCAAAATCTAAAGAAGTAATCGACTATCTGAAATCAAACTTACCTTGGGAATATCGCGTATCGAACTCAAACGGAAAGTAAATCTTTCTCAGTCGATCAATGAGGGAGAAATTTGATTTAATCACGTTTTTCTCGCAGTAAGTATTCAGGGCTTGCTGACCGGAACCTTCCTTCCAACAGAGACGATTCAATCAAACTATAGGAGACTGAAAACTGTATTGTCTTCTTATTCAAATCTGAGCCGCCCCGGGTTGTAATTATTAGCGCTTCATGATGAGATTATTATGAGGTCATTTGTAAAGTAAATGACTTTTCAAGAAGTCAGAGATAGGCTAAATTGAATAAATTAAGTAACAAAATTAATCTTTCTTTTAGAAAAGATGTGCTCTCTTGTCGAAATATTGACAAGATGAGACCGTTTCTAAAGAATTTAAACTAGAAGCCAAAAGCTTGTATGAATGAGTTTTTAAGAAGCGACAACTCTTACCTTTTGATGGCTTTTAACTGGAGTTACTCTTCAATTTTCAACCGAAAGTTGAAGTAATCTGATCTCTCTATTTTATACTCCTTCCCTTCCAGTCATCTTCACGTAAAGATAAGAAAGAAAAGACTGGTAAAATGTTAGTGAAGAGCTAAAAAGAAATAGGAAATTATTTACAACATGCGTACTTTTGGCTTAGGTAGTGAAAATTCTTCACTACTGAAGTTCCGTGATCAAAACTCTTAAAATAGGTTGTTAGCAGTAATTATACTTCAGTTCTACTCTTCCTTATGCCTGTTAATAGTTCTTAGAGATAATTATTTAAAAATTAGCGTTCAGAAAGGCTTTCAAACGGATTTCTTTTATCGAGGATGACTGGTTTATCCTGTCTGTGTTATGGTGAACATGGAACAACCAATCAAAGGCCTTGCATGATTAGGCTCAGCCTTGCTTTCCCTCGTAACTTGCTCGTAAAAGTCAAGACCTTTCCCTCATCTTAATTGCAACGACATAATGATAACTATGACATAAATTAAAAAAACAAAGTTATCACTGCCTTTTCATGTCTTTCAAAATAGCTCTCCTGTCGAATAATCCAGAATTTCTTACGCTTCCTTTACGAACGTGATTTTCTCGTCAGTATCAGATATAAAATTCAGAAAAAAAATATTTCCAACCCATGCACTATGTTTTTAATCCGGTCATGGTGACTAGGTATTTTTCTATCGCGGGATATGGGCCTTTCTAAGGAACTGAAACTTAGTTTTGAAATATAGTGTTTGCTATGTTTTAGATTCAAACGAATACCAAAATGGGAAAGGATGTCTGATGGGGAGATCTGATTGCAAATCATTACTCATTCAATGAAACTAAAGGACTTGTCTTGGTGCCTGGTGGGACATTATTCTTAGGTTGAAACACTTCAGACCATTATGAAACATTTCTTATGCGGAAAAAGGACCATTGTTTTCAC